CGTATGAGGCTGCACTATCTTTTCGTTAATATGGCGAATGAAAATAGTTTGACGTTTATTTGGTTACGTTCTCGTTTGGTACGCCATCCTCTTCGCAACTTGGTCGTATCATCAGAGAAACTCTGATTAACTCATTCTTCCCGAAGTCTTCTGTCATGCTAGTCATGGACTTGGTAGTTGGTGAAACGTCTGCCAATTTACTGTATCCAAGGTTCGATCTTGGAAATTAGCATGACCAAAGGCCATGGTAGAGGTATCTGAACAAGGTCGCCTTAGCAACTGGGCCAAGTTGTAAAAATGAGGTTAAACCTCTTCGGCGTTAACTTCTGTCGAACATGGGAGGTGGAACGTGAGTTATGGAGCACTGAATGTATGCAAATCGGTACTCTTCAAGCCTTGGGCCGATGGTCACTCCAATCTCCTACTAGTTGAGTAATGGACTGATGGTAGAGGTTTCGCCAGGATCAGTTAAACAGATCAAATGAATATGATGAGTTTCGGTTTGCCTTAAACCTAAAAAGCTAGTCCCATCAATATTGGACTGGACCTCGTCTAGGTCTCATCAGCATCTCCGAAGGGAATCGAACACGTGCACTGCAGTGCATGCTTTTGTCATGCTACCTCCACGCCCTACTGTAATGAGTGCCAGAGGGTGACAGGTCAGAAGTGACTTTCAAGACAAGCCCTCATTACTCTGAGTGACCTAGGGTCACTATATTTCTTATTCCAGTATTTACTATTGCATTCCCTGGCATTGCCTATATTCCATGTGAGTATACTTTTTATTCATTTGCATTTGTAGGCTGACATCCACTCCAATTTTGCCTGCTTTGATAATTTGCATCTTTGCCCAGAGCGACCAAGTTTGATTACGGCGTGGAATTTCTTGGGTCAGACACTGCCGACCAGCCCAGACGATCCAAGCCGACTATCCGACACTTTATGGGCTCCACTGATGAGGTGGGAGAGGACAAGAGTCATTTGGCATTGGTGGTGGAACCTTTGATAGACAAAATGTTGGAGTTGTATCGAGAAGGCATGCTCTGCGAGCACAAAGCCAGCAGAACGCATGGCCACTCACAGCCGCCTCAGACCAGAGTTGAAATGCAGGTATACTGAGTGGGAAAGATGTGATAAGTTCGGATAATTAACTATTTTTTATTCTTATATTCGATATAACAACCACGAAATTACAAACAATAATTATAATACTATGAAAGATAATAAGTATTAATGATGATTATAAAAATGAGGATACTCATGGAATAGGCTTCTTTGAAAGTATGGCTAGGTAGTAATTTGCTTCGATTCCGCTTTGAAGCGGGCTGGACTAATATTCCGCTAAAGTTATTTTAGATACTAAAGAGTTGATCGTCTAATTTTCCCACACTGGAATGTGTAGGCGTCACGATGCCATTGGATTTATCCCAGTCTTTCTTCCAAGAGGATAATGTCATCCATGTTGAACAGTCGTTTCGAACTCGTCCGTGTCTAATCAGCATCCCAAACAGGAATCAAATGTTATTGCTATGTGACACTGACAAGAGTGCTCATGGGCCATGGGCGAGATGCGACTTTTCAGGACTTTATCTGTCTCACATCCCATTTTAATATTGGAATTGTCAAGGAGCTGAATTTGTATTATTCAATTATAATCGACTACTTATATTCCATTATAGCATACTACTCATATCGTATTACTACAACTATAATTATATTATATCATATTTCAATATATAATAAAATATTATCAGTATTATTGTACTAATATTATACTTCATTATATTATAATACTATTATATTATAACATATTACTTATATTCATAGAAAGTAGATTTTTGGCATGATCAGCATGATCAGTTCCTTACTAATGACAGGAATTATATACGAAGAAAAATTGGGTTTCGAGGAATCTCCTGTTTCATAATTGTTGGGATTACTTCCATTTC